GATCCTTATTCTTGTGTTCTAGTGATTCTAAATAGCATTGTATTAGCAGTAGTGTGATTTGATTGTGTTATTTCATTTTAATCTTGGTTTAACTATTGTTCCAAATCGTTCGAACACTGTCTGGTTAATGGCAGTGGTGATGTTAGTTCCAATTTAAATTAATAATTGCTTCTTAATTCAATATTTAGGATAATTGAATGTTTAATAGCTGATTTAGGTTAGATGAAATTAACAGTCAATATTAAAGTTAAATTAAAGGGGGGCTTGGTAGTCTAGCAATTTCAGAAGGCTTAAAGGGTAGTTTGGACATGGGAAAAGGGTACTTTTCAGCAGGTTTGGTAGTTTTTGAAGAGGTTTAAGGGTAGAAATAGGGATTGTGATAGGCATGGAACTTTCTAGGAGGGACTATAGTGTAGATTCTAATAAACTTAGGTTAGTTGCTTGCATAACAAGTTTAGAAATAAGTGGGGGTAAACACTGAAATTAGAATAGGGACTAAAGGGGGGGTAAAGAAAAATCTGAAAATTGGACTTAGTTCACCTATAAATAGGATCATTTTTGCCTTGAGGAGGGGGTCTGAAGTTTTAGAAGGGGGAAGAGAGGAAAAAAGCATTCTGGAATCTGAGAGGATATTAGAGTTAAAAACCAGGAAATAATAGAACACAACAAAAATATAAAAGTATACTGTTCCATCGAAAATCTTTTAAAATTTTCGTTGGCCACTCTTTTTGGACAAATTATCTAACAATGTGGAAGGATCAGAAGAAAGAAAACATACCTAATCGGATTAAGGGCTCGGACAACTTTGTTGCTTGAATCCTTGAGGATTCTTGACACGTAACATCCCCAACCATGTATTTTCATAAGAATCCACATGATTGAGGAAGTTACGGTCAGAAATCTCAAAGGTTTTATCTAGGGTTTTGCCAGTTTTTTAAGATCTAAAATTGGGGGAATTCCAGCAAGATTTGAACGATTTTGGTTGGGGGTTAACGATGAGGAAGCCATGGGGACTATGGGGTGTGAATTTGGGCCGGTTTGGATAAAGTTGTGTTTTGGCCGGAACTTTTGATTCAATATTCGAGAAGTTTGGCTAGGAATTGGAAGATGATATTATGGGGGTTGGAAAGAGGAGAGGAAGATGAATCTGTGGTGTATTTTTGGTGGTCATTGGAGCTTCGCCGCCGCCGGCGGCGATTTCCGGCCGGCGGCGGACGGCGGCGGGACGGTGGTGGGACGGTGGGGTACGGTGGCTTATGGCGGAGACGGTGACCGGCGTTACAGGGGTGGGTTGGTACGAGGAAGAAGAGATATTGTTTTGATTTTTGTATAAAATTTCGGACAGTTATATTTGATCTTGGGGACTAATCATGGCCGTCGGATATGGGGAGATGAACGGTTGTGATTAAACGACGTCAAAACGACTTCGTTTTGTTATGGGAGGGACTGGACCGGGTGGTGTATTGGGCCTGGGTTTGGTATGTGGGCAAGGGAGGGTTTTCCTTTTGGACTAATACAAACAGCCCAATCCGGGCAATTTGTATTTTTTCCTTATTTTGCTTTACATTTTTTTTTGTATTTTTGTATTTGTTTATTTTTCTGATTTTTTATAAAATGCCTAAACAAAGCAAAGACCTAATTAAGCTATTTTAATTCCTAAAATTTGCTTGTAACTCTATTCGACACAAATGCAAAAACCAGTAATGCAAAAGACTACTTTCTTGCAATTTCTTTGTATTTTATTCTAAGACTAATTAATACTAAAATTGTGAAATTAAATCCCTAAACGCTAATGCATATTTTTGGTATTTTTTATGGATTAAATGCATAAAATGAATGCAACAATTACCAAAGAATGCCACAAAATTCACACAAAATTATAAAATATTAGAAAAAAATTATTTTGCTTGAAATTTGGGAATTACTGCTTAGGGCAAAAATCACATGCTCACAGCGGTAACAAGTATATACTGGTTGCCGTTGACTATATCTCCAAGTGGGTCAAAGCAGTTGCTCTCCCAGCCAATGATGCAAAAGGGGTGACCAGTATCCTCAAGAAAAACATCTTTACACGCTTTGGCACCCCCCGAGCCATAATCAGTGATGGCGGCTCTCATTTTTGCAATAGAGCATTTGCACGCCTATTGGAGAAATATGGAGTTCGCCACAAGGTAGCCTCGCCATACCACCCACAAACAAGCGGGCAGGTGGAAATGTCCAATAGGGATATCAAAAGTGTCCTCTCAAAAACAGTGAATGCAACAAGAACTGATTGGGCAAGGAAGCTGGATGATGCATTGTGGGCATACCGCAGAGCCTTCAAAACGCCAATTGGTATGTCACCATACAAGTTGGTATTTGGAAAGGCATGCCACCTTCCGGTTGAGCTAGAACACAAAGCACTGTGGGCATTGCGGCAGCTGAACTCAGACATGGAGACAGCGGGCACCAACAGAGTTAATGGATTGCATGAGCATGAGGAATCCCGGTTCCAGGCATTCGAGAGTGCTAGATTATATAATGAAAGGATGAAACTGATGCATGATAAGCACATCTTGGATCGGAACTTCAAACACGGAGAATTAGTGCTGCTATATAACTCAAGATTGAGGTTGTTCTCGGGTATGTTGAAGTCCCGATGGTCAGGACCGTTCAGAGTGGTGCAAATGTTCCCAAGTGGAGCTGTGGAGATCGAATCTGAAGATGGGACGAACAAATTCACAATGAATGGACAGAGGTTGAAACATTACCTTGGAATGACTGAAGAAAAAGGGGACAGCGTGGTGATAATGTTGGAAGAGCCCCAATACACAAATGAGGAGTGATGATATGAGCCTGCATCGTGCCGCGACGTTAAATCAGGCGCTCCGTGGGAGGCAACCCATGTTTTCTTTTGTTTCTTTTGCTTTTGTTTTAATGTTGTACTTGATGTGTATGAAACTAATCTTCTTATTATAAAAAAAAAAAAGAATTTCGAAAAACTAGGGCACCGCGACCTCGGAAAAATTAAAGTATTCTGTCTCTGAGGCACCGCGACCGCGGTGGGACCGCGGCGCGAACGCGGTAAATCTCGACTATTCTATTTTTTTGTACCTTATTTCACCGCGACCGCGGCGTGACCGCGGTGAAATGCGCCCAGCTGCCGCCCAGGTAAGCTCTAGATAATTTTTTTTAATTTTGTTTTCTCTCTCTCTTCTAAATAAACTAACCGCCCCCCCCCCCTACTTTCCCCACTCCTCACTCACATTCTAAACCCTATTCCCACGCCCCTTTCTTCTTCTTCTTCTTCTTCTTCTTCTTCTTCTTCTTCTTTCCATCTCCCTCAAACCCACTTCTTTCACACACACTCCCGTCTATCTCCTCTCCACCTTCCAACTCTCCACTTCTACAAGAACCAGGTATGTCATGCTTTCTCTCTCTCTCTTCTTGTACCTTTTTATTTTGCAATTTTAATGCTTGAATTGTTGTAGTATCTATAGTTAGATTTTTGGTTTTCTTTTTTTTTTTTAGTAGGTAATGTGTAAAATGTTATAGAGAAGGGCATGATCTTGTTGTGTGAAGTTAATTATAGTAAAGTGGAGTTATGAAGTAATAATGGTTGATTTTGCGGGAGAGTTTATACTCCCATGGGATAGATGTGTTCAATTGTTGTTCTATGCACACCAGGTGCTTGTGAAATTGTCCCAGTTGAGTTGTAATGGGTAATGTGACCGTGGTGGTGGTGAAGTCTGAGTAACCACCCCGGGTTCACACAACTCAAACCCTCACTAATAGTAGCCCTTGTTTTATCAGGTACAATGCATCAGTTAAGAAAAAGACGGGCCACAAGTTCCTCCACTAGTGGACTAGGAGGTTCATCTAGAGCTCGAGCTCAGGCTAGTGCGGACCAGTTTGACCAAACTCGGTTTGTATCCAAAACGGCTCAAGATCGGTTTAATGCAAAGGCATCCAAGAAGCTGTTGCCGGAAGTACACATTGACAGGCATGCCTTGCAAGTTGAATGCCCACGTATCTATGAGGAATTGAGGAGGCGTCAGCTGGACATCTTCTTTAATGAACCGGAAGAGGGCAATGTGCTGCTAGTACGGGAATTTTATGCCAATTGCTCAGAACATATTGATAGGGTTGTCACGGTCCGCAATACCCTGGTGGATGCGTCTCTTGAGGCCATTCGCCGAGTGTACAGGTTGTCGGTGTTCACTGGAGAGACAGACTATTACCAAGATTATCAACGCCCACCGGTATGGTGGCAACCAATTATTGAAACAATCTGTGTGGCTGGCCGGGATCCAATATGGATAAAGCACAGAATTACCCTGAACTCCCAATCTCTCACTTGGGAAGCTAAGTGTTGGCTCACAATCATCAACAGCCGTCTGCTTCCATCCAGCAATACCACATATGTTAATGGGCCTAGAGCAGCGGTGATTTATTGTTTCATGACCCAACACGATTTTGATGTGGCCCAGCTCATTCAAGAGGAAATGTTCATCCGCTCCCCGGAAATACTCAAAGGGTAGGGTTCTACTTCCCCTCCCTGGTCACCAAGTTGTGTCGTGCCTCACGAGTTCCTGAAAATCCCATAGTAGATGGGAAAGTGCCATTGAAAGCCCCGTTCAAGGCTAGCAAGATCACAGTTGGGAAAGAGCAGGTTGTGGTGGTTGATGATGATACCGACGAGGATGATGAGGGAGCTACGCAGGCTGCCACCCCACCTGGGCAGACTGCTGATGAGGCGGGGCCATCACAGGCCCGTCGGAGTACCCGGATGACAGCTTTGGAATAGAAGATGGATGGCCTACGCACGTCAGTCAATGACCTAACTGCCAGAGTTGACACTTTGGCCAGTCAAAATGCCAGGTCAAAGAAAAAGATCATGGGCTGGCTTCGGGCGCTAGGACGAGCGTGTCACCTCGATCCTGGCACCGTCTCCAATCAAGACTGAGCACCAGGGAAGTCCCCTTACCTTACTCTGCTTTAAATTCTTTGACATGAGGACATGCCAAATCTTTAAGTGTGAGGTGGGGGATGAGTGTTGTTGATTGTTGTTGTTGTACAATTGTATAAATTTGCTTGGTGTTGTTGGTTGTTTTTAATCAACTTCGACTTGGCCCGAAGACGGACACCTCTCGACGGGTCTCTTGAGGGACCTAAATTGAACAAAAAAAAAGATTTAATTCTGTTAGGTAGTGTATCAACTCCCCCTTGATTTTTCTTTAAACCATGGTTCTTTTCCAAGGGTTTCCATTTCAACCGGGTGTAGTTAGTTTTTTTTCTTTTGCAGTTTAGGAACTTTTGGGCGAGGAAAGATTAGAAATAGGAACCCTTGACTCCATGGTACCTTGAATAGAGATTGCTTTAGTTTGACACTTAGGCTCATTAGTTGACTCTAGCAATAAAGCCTTAAATTGTGTGTTCTTGAGTTGGCTTAAACACTTTGAGCAGAGTGTCGGATGGTCCTAACTGAATTGAGTCATGTGCCATGTGTGAGTGAGGCTTTGTGTATTCTATGCTAACACTCAATGCCTAGAACTTTCCCTGTGTGTGTACGAAGCGAAATGGTAGTCTTAATTGGTCTAGAAAATGATCTAGGCGTTTCTTTGTTGAACCTATCTATATATGTTTTTACCCACCAGAGTGTATATATCCTAGTTAACCCCTTTGAGCCTGTAATCCTGTTTCCTTGGAAACCACATTACAAGCCTTACCAAGTTTTGAAGTACCAATCTCTTTGAACCCTATCACCTCTTATAAGCACTTGAATTGTAATGAATATGGAAAAGTTAAAGTGTGGGGTAGTTGGTTGGGCTTTTGAGTGGAACCAACAAGACATAAAAACAAAAGGGGTGCAGTGTGTGATAAATAATATTAGAAGCCACCAGAATCTTAAAAAAAAAAAGAGAAAGAAGAGACTGAGCTAAATAATTTTTAAAGAATAAGTCTCAAAATGGTGGTGGTCTTCAAAAGAGAAAGTGTGCTTAAAGAAGTAGGGGGTTTAACTTAATGATGTAAAGGTGGAATGAAGGTTTGATAAGGTATGGGCTTAAAAGTGGAAAGTGTATTGAAGTGCTTAGGGAGGTGTAGTCATTATACCCATATGTATCCTACCTGTCCCGCAGCCAACATTATAACCAAATAAAGTCCTACTTGATTCTAGACCAAATGGGCTCGATTAGTCGAGTATTACACTATGGGCAAGCCTATGGTGTGTTGTTTGTGGCATAAAAATTTATTTCTGAGGGTAAGTGAAATCTTACTTGTTTGAATTCCTCAGTTTGTGAATTATAATGACATGACACAAGTCTCTTTTGTGGTGAGTAGGCACGTGTTTCATGAAGGAAAGGTAAGTCTGGACCTCTGACTGAGAGTATGAAAGCCGGTTAGGGACATTACGTGGCTAGAGAGGGAGTCCACTCTTGAGGTTAGGAGGTTACGCTAAGGTAGTCTATCTATGTGAATTGTTCTTGGTATAAGGAGTAGGGAAGTGACCCGGAGATGATTAGGCATATAGAGTGTGGTTTTGTTGCTAGAGGACTAGCAACGATTTAAGTGTGGAGTGTTAAAGTAGCCTATATTATGCGATGTAGATGCTATCTATGCTCTAAATTAACCACACCTTACTGATGATTTAAGTGCTAAATGATAACAAAATACTTTAAGTGAGGTTTTTATGCTTTGCAGGAGCTACTCCGAGTTAGGAGGAAGATATACAGTGTTTTGGGGTCAAAATGAAGATACAAGGCCAATCGAGAAGAGCCCGGACGAAAACGAGCAAGAAAAGGCGAAGAAAAACTGGACAACAGTCCACCGCGATCGCGGTCGGACCGCAGCTGGAACGCGGTGGAAGAAAGCAGAAAACAGAATGGTTATAAATCACAGCGGTCGCGCCGCGGTTGTCTCGCGACCGCGGTCGATCTGGAGAAAGCCAAGAAGTATAAGGGCTAAAGTGTTAAACGTGGAAAACTTATCCTAACCTTATATAAACTCAACAAACCCGCCCAAGTGAAGGTTAAGCTTGTTTTTAGACTGAATTGGAGGCAAGAACAAGTGTGAGAAGATCAAGACACCATTGGAGTTTTTCATTATTCTTCTTGTTATCATTATTTTCATGAACTATGAATTATTTTATGTTTTTATCTTCTTTTCCCATGAGTAGCTAAACATTTAATCTAGGGTTGATGGAATCAATTGTTAGATGAAGTTTTGACTTAATTTTATTATAATCGAGCCGGGTTTATTATATGATTGTTCAACTATGTTTTGCATGGTATTAATTGAGTGGGCCCTCGATTAATTGTGTCTAACTGCCTTATGTTGCTTGAGAAAGAATACTGGGTTAGATTGTTGTTTAACAACACCACTTTTGGGTAATTGAAGAGATTCATTACTTGAATTTAAAAGTGTTAGAGATAACGAAACTTTGGTGGGATAATTCAGAGCTACATAAATTATCATCTAGAGTAGTTCGATAGAATGCTCTAGTAAATTATCGTAGTTGATCGAGAGATAATTGCGGTAACCCATAGCTCATAATCCTCATAGAGTATCACTGCGAGATTATAGCAAAAGAGTTAAGAATTAAGCTAGCAATTGGGGAAATCAATACCCTAGATCTTTTTACCATCGAATTATCTTTAATTTAGAATATTGTTAGTTTTAATATCCTTTTACATTAGTTAAACAAATCTCCCTATTCATTGATAAAAAATCTTGCATCTGGAAATTGTTTGAACTTGTACTAGCATCACTAAGAGTTGTAATAGATGGGTTAGTTCCTTGAGGATTCGACTTCTGACTTGAAAAACCGGATTATATTTGCAACGATCGCTTTGTCTTTTACAAGGCATAGTTGCGCGTGATCAGGTTTTTATTTGCAAGTCAAAGTCCTGTGCCAATAAGTCTAGAACTTGCCCTGAGTGTTTGTCTAGGCAAAATTCTAAGTGTAGCTCGACTTGAGAAATGAATATAGGCTCTCCTTGATCCAACTTGAAACTTGAAAGCATCCATAGCCACCCAAATATGATATCCCTAGTTAACCCCGTTGAGCCGAAGCCCTGTTCTTTCAATAACCATGATACACACCTTTATCCGTTATGTAATGACCCTCTCTTGGCACACGATCTTTCCTTAGCACAATTGGCAAAAACATAAGTTTGGGGGGAGAGACGAGGAATGCAAAAGTGATAAAAGGTACAAAATAAAGAAAAGGGAAGGCAAAAAGAAAAAGAAAGAAAAGCCTAAAAATCAAAAAGAAAGTGAATAAAATAGAAAAAATGAAGGGATTCAATGAAAGCAATGATGAAAGGCTTGGAATGAGTAGAAAAAGGAAAAAGAATGATTATCATGAACAAGGAAGAAGAAAATGATTCAAAGAGTCAAGAAAGTGTGTGTCGAAATAAGAAAACTGAAGTGCTTAAGGAAAGAGGAAACCTTCATAGACCGATATATCTTACCTTTAACCAAAAGCCTTCATTACATTCCCGTAAAAGCCCTATACGATTTCAAGTTGAGTGAGCTTACATTAGTGGTGATTTACATAAGGGGCAAAATTACGCGGCTGCGGCTGATGCTAATGCGGAGGCGGCAACTTTTACGCTGCCCGTGAAATCAAGTCCAAACCAAGTACAAAAGTGAAGAAACACGGTCCCCGCTTGTTTTGTGCCGGCCGCGAAAGGCTATACGCTGAGGCGCTCAGTATTCCGCTCACAACAGAACCTCCGTAGGGGTATTTTGTCCAGTAATTTCAGCTGTGTATAAATAGATATTTTTCACATTTTTAGGTTATCTTTTGTCTGAGGAGCTCGTGAACAGCCGTATTTTGCCACTTAGAGTAATTTTAGAGCAGCTTTAGCTATCATTCTTAGATTTTATTCTTGTAATCAACTTTTATGGCTTATATTTTATCTCCATCTTTGATCACTACCTTGATTATGAGTAGCTAAACCCATTAGCTAGGGTTGTGACCCAACCCTAGTGTGGGTATTTAATGGGTCTTCAATTTTAGGGCTTAATTGTTTATGGGTTAGTGATATTTAGCTTGATTCATGCTTTAATTGTAGAATTGGTGGTTGCAAACACTGATTCATGCCTTTATGACTTAGACTCTTCTTGAGAAAANGAATTGGGGTGCATTCAAGAGATTGATAGCCCCAATTAAAGGGTTAGACCTAGAGATAGTAATACCCGACTTGAGCCAATTTTGCTTGCATTGTTTGAACACCCAATTGGGCTTGAGAAAGCCAATTAGGGCAAAGTCACTCAAACTACCGAGAAGTATAGAGTGAGTAATTATGTGTAAAGGTTATATCATGACCCCGAATATAACAAGCTTGTCCTAAACTCTAGACCCCATTAGATACTCGCCTAGGTGTAAGTCACTTCTCTAGTGATTTTTATCAATGAGATAACTCCTGCAAAAACATTGTACTTAAATTATTTTCAACAATCACTAGCATTAAAAGTAGAATAGAAACAAAACCAAGCATGGTTAGAAGTGCAATTAAAAGCAGCACGCGTAGCTAGATTGGATAGAAACCCAACTTCCAACCAATATTAGCTCCTTGTGGATATCGATCCCGACCTTTTGGGTAAAAGCTGCATCGACCACTCCTTGCCATTATAAGTGTCGTAACGCTCCGTGTCATCCAAACCCCGATCCGGACATACGTCCAAGTCCATAATCACCATATGAACCTGTTGGAACTTTCAAATCCTGATTTCGAGGTCGTTTACTCAAAAGTCAAATCCTAGTCAATTCTTCCAACTTAAAGCTTCCGAAATTAGAGATTTCTTTCCAAATTGTCTCTGAACTTTATAAGCCCTGTTTTAACTCTTGCAATACTTCCACGATGGATGAGATATGTAGAAACTCATAACCACCTGCCAAATCAGCAACTCATGGAGTCTCTCCTCCTGTTAAGGACCATTACCTCATTCTGAACTGGATAACGATACTTGCTCTTTAATATATCTTATATAAATCTGATTGCACTGATTTTAGGTCCATAAATCTCGTCTCACCTAGTACAAGCTGCTCGGAAATAAGCCACCTCAACATTGACCAAGATCTTATATGATGCCACAATGCGAAAACAAGCTACAAACTCGAATGTGATACATAAGAAAACGAACTCTGATAGGGAATTACCCTGCCCGCGCAACGAATAAAACGACCGAATAGGTGCTATGAACCTACCTCAAGGATGAAAACAAGGCACACAAAATGAGTGTAAGAAACTATGCTCAACTTTTAACTGTTGCGGCGTGTAACCCAATCCACACATGATACCGCTGCAGCGTGCAACCCGATCCAACCATGATACCGTTGCAGCGTGCAACCCGATCGAAACAATGATACCCGTTGCGGTGTGCAACCCGATCCAATAATGATACTGTTGTGGCGTGCAACCCAATCCAAATAATGATAACCGTGGTGGCATGCCACCCAATCCGCACATAGCAATCAAGAAGAAAACACACATCAAGTCGTAATGCTTATACTCATGAAATGTCTGAATATTGACCACAAGCACGCCAAGTGCATAACACAAATCCTGGGGAGACGGATAGCGCCATACGCTACGAAACCCAAGCACAACTAAGGTGCGATATATGATCTGCATCTCGAGAGCCATCCTTCTCACATAACAACACATATATGCGGGACCTCAACACATGTGTGAATAATCAAGTCGTCTCACCACCCACATGGCACAATAGAGTATTACATGAAATAGCTGACGACCAAAATAACATCCAACGCTCGAAGACTCCTCCATAAGCAACGCTATGCCGAACGAACACACCCCGCCTGATATAGAGCACACATTCACATTTAGACCCATCCACAAATCTCAAGCCGATTCTGATCGTACCGCACTGGGCTAATAACATTCCAAGGATCCACAACAACCCTATTCATGATACATAAGGGTTGTCGTCCAATCCAGAACAAACTTCCACAGTTCACAACCAAATGAATAGAGCGCCTTCCAAGCCTAAACTCTCACATTAGCGATGGTACCGTAATCTCCATACTTGGTTTCAATCTTTAATCAATCAAGTGACTACATGTCACACTTATACAATCTTCCTGTGGGATACGCCCCCACGACCTTCCGCAACAGGCAGCAAAGTCTGCACATCCATACCTCCGGCCATACAATGATGTAAAGCGAATCGAGAATCCGCACATCAGTACACAAAGCCTCTTACACAGGACACCGATCTCAGGTGACGCTAAAGACAATACCAACTTACTCTAAACATCTGCATTCTTTCCTGCTCATCTGAGCTCGTGACATTCTTATCAACACCGAACCGCAACCTTGATCCTCAACTTCCAATTCACATGCCGCTCACTGCACCTAACATGCCAATACACAAGAGTACAAGAATTTCATCATAACTCCTGAACCATTAATAGAATAAACACTTCATCATATAGAAACCTTTCACTTAACTCATTTCAGGAGAACTATTGCAACACGCGATTGAATTCCCATAACCGCAGAAAATACAAACCTCAAGTAGTGGTCTAAACCACAATAACTCTTCCAGGATCCATCTAGACATAACATGCCACAATAATCGAATGCCTCCAAATAAATCAAATCACGGCGACTGTCAAGCCTCGCACGTTCCGCTACAAATCACCTGCATAACTTAACACGCCGAAGGAACTGATCATTGCCACCACCATGCAGATTCAACCATTGCAAACCGAACCAACTTCTTCTAATTTACTCCGGACTTGCCTTAGAAATAATAATAGCTCCATTCAAAATATAACGAACTCAATCCACACTCATCCTGAGTGACCCAATTCACGAGACCACATTGCCTCAAAACCCACGAACCATCTCA